TCCTTTTGGGTGTGGACGGCCACATCTGCGGATGACACCGGGCAGCTGGCGTCGTCATCAATGTGAAGTAGGTGGAGCGTGGGGGCTGGGTCTTCGACCGGCTTCTTCGATGGGCATCTGCTGAGAGCGTCAGCGTTTCCTATGGCTGTGCCTGGCTGGTGCACGAGCCTATAGGAGTAGCCAGCTAGGAAGATGGCCCGTCTCGTCATTCTTGGGGACATGAAGGTCGGGGTTGGTTGGTCGCCTGCGAGGAGTCCCAGGAGAGGCTTGTGGTCTGTGACTATGGTGAAACGTCTTCCGTAGAGGTATTCGTGGAAGCGCTTCACTCCAGCCACGATGGCCAGGGCTTCTTTGTCCATCTGGCTATAGTTCCGTTCTGCGCCGGACATAGTCTTTGAGAAGTACGCGATTGGGGCTTCCGAGCCATTGGGCAGTTCGTGGCTGAGAACTGCCCCCACCCCGTAAGGCGACGCGTCGCAGGTCAATCTGATGGGGAGCGTCTCGCTGTATTGGATGAGGACGCTTTTGGACGTCAATAGTCCTTTGATGGCCCGGAATGCCGCTTCCTCTTCCTGGCCCCACTTCCAGGAAGCCGATTTCCCCAGCAGGCGGTGGAGTGGCTCAGCAACTGTGGCTTTCTGTTTTAAGAAAATGGCGTAGAAGTTGAGCAACCCAAGGAAAGCCTGAAGCTCCGTTTTGTTTTTTGGGCTTGGAGCTTCATGGATTGCTTCCACTTTTGATTTGGTGGGGTGTATGCCTGTGCTATCAATGAGGAAGCCCAGGAACTCAACTTCCTGTACTCCTATGATGCACTTGTCCCGCCGGACCCTCAAACCCTTGGCCTTGAACCGCTGCAGGACAAGCCTGAGCCTTTCAAGGAGTTGGGCTCTTGAGTCACCGGAGATGAGCACATCATCGAAGTAAGGCACCACCCCTGGAACGCCTTGGAGAAGGCGTTCCATCATGGATTGGAAGATACCAGGGGCAGCGCTGACTCCAAATTGGAGGCGGTTACATTTAAATGCCCCTCTGTGCGTGACAATTGTTTGAGCCTCCGCCGTTTTGTCATCCACTGGCAGTTGCTGGTAAGCCTGGGCCAGGTCCAGTTTCGCGAAAATTGATCCAGATCCCAGGGAATGCAGCAGATGTTGCACCACTGGGACTGGGTATGCGCTCTGTGCCAACGCCTTGTTGATGGTACAACGGTAGTCAGCACAGATGCGCACAGACCCATCATGCTTCAGTGGGGTCACAATGGGGGTCCCCCATGAGGCATGATCGATCGGTTCCAGGACGCCCTGGGCGATCAGCTTATCCAGCTGTTCATCTACTTTAGGCCGCAGGGCAAATGGAACTCGGCGGGGCTTGAGCCTGATTGGGGTGATTCCCTTGTCCAGATTAAAGGAGATTGGCCTCCCCACAAATTTCCCCAGCTTACCATCGAAGACTTCTTTGAACTCTTCGATGATGGAGTCGAGTTCGTCCCTGCGGATCTCGTGGATGCCCTGAAGTGAAAGTCCTAGCGGCTTGAACCACTCCACACCCAACAGGTTCGGTCGGCTGTGCTGCACGATGGTGATGGGTAGCTTTCCGTCGAAGTCGTTGTACTTCACGCGGATGGTGGCTCTGCCTAGGATTTCAATGGGGTTTCCGTTGAAATCCACAAGTCTCGCTTTCGGGGTTTTCAGCTGGGTCCTTTTGTATGCCGGTTTCAGCTGTTGTAGGTGCTGCCAGTCCATGATGGAGTAGGCGGATCCGGAGTCTACCTCCATCTTGCACGGAGACCCCTCTGCTAGCAGCGTCACGTGGAACTTGGTGGTCCCCTCGTCGCTTATGTGAGCAATGGTGGTGGTCTGGTGCACCGTTCTGTTTCGGGGATATTCCTCCTCCCCGCGCCGGGACTGGTTTGAGGACCGTTTGGATGTCCTCTGGTTATCTTTGCGATTTTCCCGGAATCGTGGTCTGGGCGGTTCCGGGGCTGGATCTGTGGCTCTGCAGACCTCGGCGATGTGCCCCCTCTTCAGGCATCGGCGGCAGGTCGCGTCCCTCCATCTGCAGTTTGCCCTGGGGTGGTCGCCTCTGCAACTGCCGCATCGTTCTCCCCGGTCGCCATGCTGTGGGTTTTCCCGCCTGGGGGGGTGGGAAACCTTGTGGACGGTCCTTTCCTCATCCGACTCGGATTGCGTGGTTGCCTCGTCTGATGAGGTCAGGCCCGACTTGTGGATCTTATGGATCCCTCTTGCTTTTACCATTGCGGCGGCTGCTTGCTCAGATGTTTCAGCCGCCGTTGCTTCGTCGAGGACGTCTTTGAGCGGGATCCTCTTCCGGCTGAGGAACTTTTTCTGCAGCCCCACATCTCTCATGCCAAAAACAACGCGGTCTCGGATGGCGTTGTCCACGTTATCGAACTCGCAGTTGGCAGCGAGTTGGCGAAGTGCTGCCATGAATTCCTTGACGGATTCACCTTCCCGCTGGTTCCTTTGCTGGAAGGTGAACCTGTTCGCGATGGGGGTGCCTGTAGGTGCGTAATGCTCCTGTAGGACTTCCTGCAGGTCGTTCCAGGACATCTCCTCAATGTCCCTGGGTGCCACGAGGTCAATCGCCATCTCTAGGACGTCCGATCCGCAATGAGCCAGGAAGAGGGCTCTTTTCCTCTCATCGTCGAGGTTCTGGTATCCATTGCCTCGCAGGAACTGCCGGAATCGGACCATGTATGACCTCCACTTCTCCCGGGCTGGGTTGAATGGGTTCAGCGCGGTCATCGGGGCTTGCGGGGTAGCCATTCTGGAAGTCGCTGTGGTGTAGTGACTTCAGCTAGGTGGGCGATCGTGCCAAGAGTCTTGTTCGGGTTCTTCTCTCAGTCCTTCGTCGCCAGTGTTAGATCAGGCGCAGGAAAGGAAGACTGGACCAGCTCGATACATATAGCAACTTTTATTCAGTACAAAGTAACGAGTCAAGACTGCTGGCGCGCTGCCGGAGCTCTCCTTATATTCGCTCCCGGCAGACGCACCGCCCCTTGACAGGGATTCAAACTTCCCGCCCGATGGCTGGCAGCCAATCAGGGCGGATGTCCTTATAGGGACATAACAACACCAAAGTTGCGAACCCTATCAGAGGGAGTCAACAACTCCCCTCCCATCAAAAGTGATGGGGCCACTAGATCCTGGGATGCCGGCATCCACAGCCACTCCGTCTTGGAGGGGTTGAGTCTGAGCCTGTTCCTGCCCATCCAAACCCCCACCACCTCTAGGCACTTAGACATCACGGAAAGGGCATCCCTGGATTGGTCCGGGGTGGAGATGTAAAGCTGAGTATCATCAGCATATTGATAGTAACTCACCCCGAAACTTCGAATGATCTCACCCAGCAGCTTCATATAGATGTTAAAGAGCAAGGGGGAGAGAACCAAACCCTGAGGAACCCCACAAGTAAGGGGCCTTAAGAAGGATCTCTGCCCCCCTGCCCAGACAAACTGCGTACGGCCCGAGAGATAGGAGGAGAACCACTGTAAAACAGTGCCCCCCACTCCCAACTCCTCGAGTCGTCGCAGTAAGATACCATGGTCGATGGTATCAAAAGCCACTGAGAGGTCAAGTAGGACCAGAGCAGAGGAATAATCCCTGTCCTGGGCCCACCAGAGATCATTCACCAGGGCGACCAATGCCGTTTCCATGCTGTGTCCACACCTGAAGCCCGATTGGTAGGGGTGTAGATAGTCCGCTTCCTCCAGAAATTGTGGAAGGTGACATGCCACAATGGACTCAACAACCTTCGCTATAAAGTGAAGGTTGGAGAAAAGACGAAAGTTGTTTAAAGAGGCCGGATCCAGGCCAGGCTTCTTGAGGAGGGGTCGAACCACCGCCTCCTTAAGGATGGCGGGGAAGACTCCATCCCTCAATGAAGCGTTAATCGCCTGGATCCAGTCTCGGTCACCTCCCTGATTGCCGCAAGAAGCCGGGAGGGACACGGGTCCAACAAACACGTCGTGGCACTCAATCTACCCACAATCCTGTCCACTTCATCTGAGGATACAGGATCAAAGTCAACCCAGATGTTACCTCCAAGACTTGCTCCCACCTCCTCGTCAGATCCTGCCCAGTTAGAGTCTAAACCCATCCGGATCTGAGCGATTTTGTCTTGCAGGAATTGAACAAAATCCTCAGCAGTGCCCTGCAAGGGGTCCTCCCTCACTCCCTGATTAAGGAGGGAGCGGGTCACTCAGAACAAGGCTGCTGGGCGATTCTCTGCCGACGCAATGAGAGCAGCGAAATAATTACGTTTCGCCGCTTCCATCGCCACAAAGTAGGTTCCTAATGTAGGTTCTTAACTGTGTTCAATCAGATTCGGAATGGGAAGATCTCCAACAGCTCTCTAGGCGTCTCTTCCGACACTTCATCTCCCTGAGCTCCTCGGAGAACCATGGAGCTACTCGGGATCCCTGTCGGAGGAGAGGCCGCAATGGGGCAATTTGATCCAGTGCCCTGGTAACAGCCCATTCCCAGGCATCAACCAGGGCCTCTGGAGAATCGCAGGATAAGGATGTGGGAAATGTCCCAAGCTCCGTCAGGAACCTGACAAATATAAGCTGTGTATGTGAGTCTGACAGAGTTTATATTTTTTATTTCTTGATTTTGCGGTTTTATATGCTATTTCATCTCTTAGCCTGATTTTATATTGCTAACATTTTTAAAAACAGCTCTTAATGAATGCTAGTTGCTTTTTATGTAAAGGAAAAAATTTAATGTTTTAAATTGATGAATTGATTCAATTGTGCAACAGGTTGCCAGCATTAAGAATAAAAATGCTAATGAAAGGTACAATAGTATGAGTCATTCACCCATAATCTGTTAGCATGATAAAGAGATTTATGATAAGCAAATTCATTGGTCATATTCTTTCCAAATAGCTACTGTAAGAAGATTAAAGTACTGGCTGTTTCTTCTATTAATAGGTGGGGAAGTAGATTCAGTAAGATAGGTTATTAGCACCAGCCATGAATTAAAGTATGGGAATAAAATTTCTGCCTTTTAGACTGTGAAGGATCTTCCCAGTGGTCTGAAGACCCGAAAATAACAGCTTACTACCTTCTCGACAATGAGGTGGCTTTGAGGTGAGACAAAATCAAACTGAATTAAAGCAGGAATGCCTTGTTAATATTTGCAGAAACAGCAAGGTTTCATTACACCTGGCATGTTTAATAAATATTCTATTTTAAGATGTAGATATTTGTTTCTCCTATTGACGAGACCTAATGATTTTCAACAGCCTGCCTGAATACCATAGTACCAGCCAAACCATTCTCTCTAGTAGTTACTCTCATAGAATAGCTTTTCATAGGGACATTTATAATGATTTACTTTTCCTGACACAATCATTTTAATTATTGTTAGTGCTAGGACAGCAAGAAAAAGAGACCTCCATACAGCTGTGCCGAGATTTGAATCTGGGTTTTAGTGCCCTTTTCACTGTACTTTCTTTTGGGATTAAATTTTGGAGAAATGAAGCCCCTCTATCTCTTTAGCTGAACAAAACAGCAGATTGCCAAGGTGATAGAACAAACTGCCATGTTTCTTTTTAACCGCTGCAAAAGTAGAAGATTAGCAGAGCAGGAGAGGTTGGGTTATTTTTTTTTTCTTCTATGATGCCTTGTTTCTTTCTTTCTGATGACCAGACAATTTTTTCATTTAAAAACAATGCTGCCTTCCTGTGCAGTGGGGCTGGCTGCTGTTTTGTGTCCCCATCCCACCCCACACAGACAATAAAGCCTGTTGACAGTGAAAAGGCATGTCACTGATTAGTGTACACTATTGGTTTTTGGGTTTATCATTGTACTTCCTGAGCCTTTAGTGCAGGATATACAGTTAAGTTGTTAAATAAATGATGGGGAAAATAATTGACAAATGTTGTCTCCCTTTTTTCTTTTCAGTGCTAATCTGGGGCAGAGCCTAAAAATGATTCTTTAAACGTTGTAGCCCTCTTGTGGCCATGGCTGCCCTTTTCTTCCACAAGAGCCTTGTTGTGAACAACAAGGACAATGATGAGCTGGAGCTGGAACGGGAGCTCACCCGAACATTAGAGAACAAAGTAATGCTCCTCTATTTTGGCTCTGGTGAATGTCCTCGATGCCAAGAGTTTGCGCCCATCCTGAAAGAATTTTTTGTGAAACTCACAGATGAGTTTTATATGGAGCGAGCATCTCAACTAGTTCTCATCTATGTGTCACTGGACAACACAGAGGAAAAGCAAGACAAGTTTCTGAAGAAAATGCCAAAGCGATGGCTGTTTTTACCTTTCCAGGATGAGTTCAAAAAGTAAGGATCTGAGAATTTAGTTAAGAAAATGCCAGAACTGAGGCTGGGCTCACAGGCATATTAAGCCACAATATGGCTTCACTGGGTTTTGATTCAACCTTTATAATCTATAATCTATATTTTATAATTAGCATTATGTCAGTTGTTTGTTAGTCAACAAATTGTGATGTGAACCTGCTTTAGATGAATTAAGCATATTTAATGTGCGTAGTTGATTGATAACTATCCAATAATTGTAGATATACCAGCAGCATTTGGGGATATTAGCACACAATAGTTAGTCTTTTTTAAAACAAATTTTATTAAAAGTTTTTAGGAAAACACAGAAACTAATACAAACCAAGACAGGATAAAGAAAACAAAGAAAAATGCAGAATGAAAAAACAAAAAGAAATAGAAAAGATTTTTATTTCCTTTGCAACAAATACAAGTATAATTGCAAATGTATCTCTTACTTTACGATATAAAAAAGGTTTCTTTTTTCTCTTATCTATTTTTTTCTCATTTACAAGTCTACAAACTAACTATAAGCTATACGTGCATTTCTTCTGTTTCATCCAAAAAGTCTACAAATGGTTTCTAGTCAGTCATAAATATAGATATTGTCTTTTCTCTGATCAAGAAAATTAAGGTAGCCATCTGCAAATTCCATCATTTTCACCAACCATTCCTCCATTGTGTGTAGTCTAGAACATTTCCATTTTTATGCATGTAATAGTCTTGTTGCATTTGTCATATATAAAAACAGGGTTTCTAGTTTCTAGTTAACAATGGATTTTATAAAAAACCTTTTTAAGGCTAGAACATGATGTAAATTTAAATCCTTTGAACCACTTATTTTCCATCGATCCACTTATATGTTATAGTCAATATTTAAGTCCATTTTATCATACATTCTTTCACTTATTTTTCTCTCTCATATTTCTGCAAAAGTATATATATATATTTAGCAATAATATGTTCATCCTTAGTACACAATTCTGTTTCAAACTCAATCTTACTTTGTTCAGAACTATACAATCTTTTATTCACTTTAAACCTTCCTGATAATTGTACCTTAAGAAAACCATTGTGAAGTATATCCTTCCATTATCAAATCTTCTCGTGATTTTGTTTTGCAATCCCCTTGACATCACGGTACATGATGATGAAGTAACCATTTATAATTTCTTATCATTTCTCATCTATGTTTCTTATGGTGAAAGCCACAAAGATGTTGTCGAGCACAAACTAGGTGTATATTTATTCCATACACTAAGAGTGACCTGCCTAAGATAATGATTTCTTAAATCTACATTAATCTTAGCTTTGTCATACCAGAGATATCTATGCCACCCAAATTTCACATCATGTCCTTCTGACGCCAGTAGCCATCTTTTTTTAAAAACAATACCCACTCTCCCGTTCAAGCTAAGCAGGCAGCAAAGTTTCATATTTTTCAGACTATAAGACACACCAGAGTATAAGACACACCAAGATTTCAAAGAAGTAAACAAGAAAAAAAAAGTTTTTGCCCTCCCCGGCCCCCAGGAGCACTCTGTGGGCCTCCCATACCCTCTGTGTGTCCTGTTTTTCACAAATGTCCCGTTTTTCGCAGAGGTAGGACTAACCTCACCTCTGGTTATATTATTCCCCCCCGGGGGGGGGGGGGGTAATGTTCCAGAGTGCAGGGGTTACAACATTCTGTGCCAGCTGAAGTTTCTACATGTTCTTCAAGGCCAGCCCCATGTCAAGTGCATTACAGTAATCCATTCTGGAGCTGACTAGGGCATGAGTGATAGTGAGTACAGCCTAACAATCCACAAAAGGGTGCAACTGGCACATAACACAAAGCTGTGCAAAAGCCCTCTTAGCCATGACTATCACCTACTCTTTGAGTTTGATTCAGTGACACCCAAGAGAATGATCATGGCCCTGGGACTATGAGGTCTGTTACCTATTAGATGCAAATCTTTCCTGATTGGTTAAGACTTCCCAAGAGATCACAAGCAGTTGGGCCCAAATAATTCTGAAAGCTTCCTTGTGTGGGAGGGGGAGTCCACCTGACTTTGGTAGTTCTCCTTCTTCTGAGAATGGTTCCAGTTGTCGGGTGTGTGGGAAGTTCCATTCCTAGGTTTTTCCTTCATGGTGTGCCACAGAGCTCTTTCCTCCTCCTATTTAACATGAAAACTAATATTATGTCATCTTTCAGCCCAGGGTTAGGAAAGTTGAGCTTTATCTCTGCTCTGGGCTTCCAAACGATGTTGCAAGTTGCTTTCTCAGTACTTGGAGGCTGTGTGGGCCTGGATTGGGAAGAACCAGTCTCAGCTGAACCCTGACAAGACTCCATGGCTGTGGGTTTTAGGGTCCTAAGTATTTAGTGAATTTGATCATTAACTCTGAATGGGGTAACACTACATTCAGTGGTTGGTACATAATCTGTGAGTTGTCCTAGATTCATAACTCCTGCCTGAGGTGCAGGTGGTGGCATTATCTAGGGCACCTTTGCATAATTACATCTTTTGAGTCAATTGTACTCATTCCTAAACTGGAAGCCACTGCTCATGGTAACTCATGCCTTGATCACTTTCCAAGTGAACTATTGTAATATGCTCTACATGGGGCTATAATTGAAGAGCATTTGCAAGCTTCAGTTGATCCAGAATGCAGTGTTACTTGCAGTATTGGGCACAGCATAACATTGCTGCTACATGAGCTGCAGTGGCTTCCATTGGGCTTCCATTGGGTACAATTAAAGGTTGCCACCTGTAAGCTCTGCTTGGAATGGGGCCAAATTACTTGCAAGACCACCTATCCTTGATGGTTTCTGATCATCCCAGTAGATCAAGCAGAGTGGGCATACTCTGGCTGCCATCAATGGAGCAGAGCAACCTAGTGCACCACAAGAAGTATGCCAACTTTGTCATGGTGCCCATCTTGTGGAAAAGCCTCCCTTTCCTTAAATATAGATAGCCTTGATCCTGCTGGCTTTCCAGAAGCTATCCAAAACTGGATCTTCTTCCAGGCACAGGGCTTGGGAAGTTTCTGGAGTTCTGATGTGGATGTCGTTTATCTGAAGAGCTGATATTGTGCTTTTTAGGGGCTTCAACCCAATTTGTTTATTGGATCTGTATGGTTGGTTTTTATATCTGTTTGCCATGAAAAGTTCCATAAGTAGGTAGATAGAGATAAGCTCAGAGATGTTGGTGAAGAAGTTCATTAAGCAACCTTGAGAAGCAACCCTATTCTGGATCCTGGCTATAATACTGGACTTCCCGGCTGGACTATTGTAATGCTCTCTACATGGAGCTCACCTTGAGGAGCACTCGGAGGCTCCAGCTGGTCCAGAATGCAGCTGCGTGAGTAATAATGGGGGCGACTCGTCGCTCCCATGTAACACCCATCTTGCGCGAGCTGCACTGGCTCCCAGTGGTCTTCCAGGTGCGCTTCAAGGTGTTGGTTACCATCTTTAAAGCGCTCCATGGCTTAGGACCTGGTTATCTACAGGACCGCATTCTGCCACCGATTGCCTCCCATTGACCAATATGCTCCCACAGAGAGGGCCTCCTCAGGGTGCTGTCAGCCAAACAGTGTAGGCTGGCGACCCCCAGGGGGAGAGCCTTCTCTGTGGGGGCCCTGGCCCTATGGAATGAACTGCCCCCGGACATACGAAGGATCCCTGACCTCCGTGCCTTCCGTCGCGCTCTGAAGACCCTATTATTCCAGCAAGCTGGACTGACAGGATAAAGGTTTTTTAAATTGGGTTTTGATAGGGGTTTTAAAATGATCTTAGTTGGATGTTTTAAATTTGGCCGATTGATTTAATTATTTTAATAAGCTTTTAATTTTTGTTGTCCATTGTTTTTACCATGGCTATGCACCGCCCTGAGTCCCTCGGGAGAAGGGCGGTATACAAATATAATAAATAAATAAATAAATAAATAAATAAATAATAAATAAATAAATAAATAAATAATGACGCATAAGGACGGGGTGACAGCTCTCTTTACCTGTTGCTCCTTTGTTACACAACATTGCTCAGCTGGAGCCTAGTTGTTGCTTAACCAAGAGCTTCATGCTGGATCTCTCCAACTGCTAATCTGAATGTTTTCTTTTCACTCTTGCTAAAGCAGGATTTATTCCTTACAACAGGGATAGTAGGAACAGACAGCCTATTGCTGAAAACAGGATCTCTGTGCTGAGTTATCTGGGCCATAATATAGTAATAGCATATTTTGCATTTCCCTGTCTCTTCTCTATATTGTTGCTGGAGGCAGGAAGATTAATTATATGATGTCGTCACAGGGCTAAGTAAGAGATCCAACCTGTTATTGGGGAAAGGGAAAGAAGTTTACAGATAAATGCTTTAGGGAAGGATCCAAGGGTGAGCTGGACCCTTATCATGCTAAATTTGGAGAGATTATCAGACTGCATTGTTAAAAATACAGTCTGGTAAAGGTAACTTTGAGACATTGGAAGATGGCAAGGAAAATGTGAAGAGACCTAAAGAAGGTCCTACCCTCAGACTGGGAGCAATAATCATTTTTAATCTCTCTAAATTCATTTATTTTCAGAACAGAAAAAAAAAAGATGAAAGAACCAGGATGTCTTTGTTAGACTACTAATAAAGACTTTCCTCCTCCCCCCCCCCACTTTTGCAAGTGGAAAACCTCTTCTTAATAAATTGACAACACATGTTTGGGACTTGTATATATTGATGATAATGTCCAATTGTTGTACCTGAGTATAACTATACAAACAAATGAATAATTGTAAAAAAACTAAGAGTTTTAGGTCCCTGATACCTCTTTCAGCTTTCCTCCTACGAAAATCTCAATATATTCTCCACATATTCCAGCTCAGAACTTTCGAAACTTATTCTTTCTTTCTGCAACATTCCTAGGGAGCTGACATTAAGATTTTCAGTGACCCATCCCCCTGTGGTGGTAGTTTTGAAACCAAATGGTGAAGTCATTGCTCCCAATGCTGTGGAAGAAATCAAAGAGCAAGGCACAGATTGCTTCAAGAACTGGCAAGAGGCAGCTGATTTGGTGGATAGGAACTTCCTTTTATCTCAGGACTCTGAGGATGTGACCTTGAGAAGTATCACTGATCCCATTCGGAGGTTCAAGTACAAACTGGTTAAGAACCAAAGAAAAACAAGAAGCAAAGGTGGTGATAAGGGTGAAGTCTCCTGATGAGATGTTTCTTCTTGGAACTTCAGGTTGGTGAATGTGAGTGTTCCCAAACCATCACCTATGAACATTAGATATCTACAACCACACTGTGGTTGGACGCAGAAATTGTTAATTGTGGATGTATTTCGAGATTTGAAAACCTAAAATATTTTTTTTCTAAAAGAATATGCAGCTATGAAATTCTTAGATATCTATATAGTGTTTATTGTAATTGGAACCTGGAATGAACGTATGTCATTATGCATTCAAGGTACTCAAAAGGGCTGTGAACACTTTGAAAATAATTTGGAAGAGCTTCAGATCTCAAAAAAACCACACAATCTCTCTTTTTTTTCAGACTTTCTGATGAGCCTGGAAAAAAAAATCTTGTCTATTTGAAAGGGTGAAATGTTTAAAGATACAGTCACCCTTAAAGAAGCTACAACTTTTTTTTTTTATGCTTTAGGGCTTAGGCAGAAGTCTGAAATGAGTAGATGTTTTAATGAACAGCAGAAGTGCTGTGCTCACACTTGCCTCAGATCTAAATCACTTCTTCCAAATACACTGATTTTACAAGCATGCCTAGCTCTAGGAGACCATCGGGGCTGCACGGAGCTTTTTTTCCTGAAATAACAACAGAAACCATACAAGATAAAAGTGAAAATAGCTTTGTTTGCATACTTTATCATAAAATATTTTCCGAGCAGATCTCCCTTTTGAGAGAATCCACCAGCATTTTGTTGTCTGCAACAGCTCATTTAATTATATTGGGAGGGGGGAGAACCCTTTGTCACCAACTCTCAGCATTTCTTTTGATTTTCTGGCATCAAATTATCCCCTTGCCAGGCTCCTCAGGTGATATTCCTTGCCAGGCACCTCAGGTGATATTCCTCAGATGATATTCTTCCTAGTAAGCAGTTCTTCTTGGGCAAGCTGCCACCAACTCTTTTAGCAGGAGAGAAAGTTTTTCTTCCCGGCTGAACCAGGAAGGCTCTGTCTGTTTAAAGTCTCAAGTTTGAAGTGACTCTAAACTTTAATTGCTTGCCTTGCTGCTTAAGGGACTAGCCCTGCAATGGGCAGTATAGTCAAGCATTTTTTAAAAAATAAATCCAAATACACGAAGCCTTATTGATGACCTAATACCATCCCTTCTCTACAATTTTCTCTATTACCCTTTTTTTTAAAAAGGAGGACTTTCCCACTTTTTCTTTCAGTCACTCATTGGTCACTCTCAACTTGCAAATAACTCTCCTAACTGCAAACATCCTTTCTTAGGGACCCGATGAAGGCAGAAAATTTTAATTCTATAGTACCATCACCAGTGGTGAAATCCAAATTTTTTTACTACCGGTTCTGTGGGCGTGGCTTGGTGGGCGTGGTGTGGCTTGGTGGATGTGGCTTGGTGGGCATGGGAGGGGAAGGATACTGCAAAATCCCCATTCCCTTCCCACTCCAGGGGGAAGGATATTGCAAAATCTCCATTCCCACCCCATTCTGAGGCCAGCCTGAAGTGGTATTTGCTGGTTCTCTGAACTACTCAAAATTTCTGCTACTGGTTCTCCAGAACCTGCTGGATTTCACCCCTGACCATCACCCATAGCATAGCAATGTTATATTTCAATCAATGAAAAGCTAACTCTTGCTTTTAGAGACTGACTATGCATTTTACTTTATCTGAAAATAGAAACTATCCAGAAGCAGGGGTAGACAGAATTTGGACTGGAGAAGTAAAAATAGTATATTATTGTTTCTTAACAAGCAGAAGTGAAAAAAGAAACATAGATAATATTAGTTTTGTGACCTATGGAATAATCAGTGAAAATTGTTACTTCAAAGAAATGTAATAAGTGGCACATTTGACACATAACACATATTTTTATCAGATTCCTTTGAGAACATATAACCAATCATTTGAGAACATACAACCAGAATTAGTTATAATCACCCAGTTGTAGGAAATTTGGGTTTGTCCTCTTATTGCTATATTTTGATCTGAGATTCATAGTACTGCTAAGCTAATAAATATTTTTTTTCTAGCTGTTTTCCTAATAATTGAGATCTATTGAAGTATCAAGAATTATGGATAATACATCATCATCACCATTATGAAAACCTACAAGCATTATTTTCTCTAACTTGCTACAGTGATTATTTCTAATTAGTATGGGTTCTGTTGTTGTCTGCAACATGAGTGTATAGTAACCCTGTTGTTTAATTAAATAGAATTTTAAAAAGGAATGTTGCCTAATTTCTTGTAGTTCTTTTTATCGTGATATATTTTCATGCAATTGTCAAAACATTTTCTTTCTTAGACCTAATACAGTATTATTTCATGCATTCTTAAATATTACTGTATCTTCCTAACTTAAAGCACGTGTTACTGAAACAATCTAAAACCTGTTGAAATTGATGCTAGTCTCCTCTTTTCTTTTAAATTTAATATTGTAAAGAAAGGGGGAAAAACTTTACCTGTTGGTTTTTCCATACTGGACATCTGTTCCAAGAGCAAGAACAAGCTAGGCTTTTTAATTTTGTTTTTAATCTTTTCCCAGGCTAGTTACAAATCTTTTTGTTTTCTTTTTTTATGAAAATATTTTTGTTCTTGGTTGGATTATTTACAAATGAAAGACTTCTGTTCCTGAATTTGAATAGCATCTTAATCTTGCAAATTGAGCACATATGGCACTGTGTTTAGCTTTAGAAAGCTGTAATCTGGATTTAACTTCAAACTATGAATTGACCATGTGCTCTTAGCCCAGCTCCCATTCTCTGAGAAGTCTCAACCTCAACCTGCATATGGTATCCTTTACAGAAAGGGATACAGCATCGTAATTAAATATGCAGAATTTTAATATTGGGAAACAGTTGGCTTTTAGTTGAAAGAGCTTCTCTATCTCAGTAAATATTGTTTTAGTCTTGCAACAGCCCTGCAAGGTAGGGACAGGTAATCTTATTAGTTCTGAGGGCCATGTCAGCTGTCAGATCAGGCCACAAAATGTGTGCAGTTTCAGATAATACACATGCACAAATATTCATTGTATGTAGAAAGACATACCTGAGTTGTCCATCTCTACCTTGCAATAAATATTATCTCCATTTTGAAGGGAGGGGGACAGTCATAAGATACTTAGGGCCACTTTCCTGATCATGGTGGCTTCCAGGTACAGTAGAACCTCTGATCACGACCATAATTTGTTCCATAACTTTGGTCACAAACCGATATGGTTGTGACCCGAACCTAATTTTGGAAGTTTGGCACTTACAAAAAAAATGGTGCAGAAGGGGAAATCGGCCGCGAAAAAAAAAGTGAACTTTTTGGTTGGAACCCAATTTATTCATGGTCAGAAGTGTTCGTGACCAGAGGTTCTACTGTGTTTGGAACTTCAGTTCTCACCATCCTTCAGAGTATTGTGTTAGAAAAAGCTTTCATTATTTGTGGTACTGGAAGGATGCAAAGAACAAGGGAGACTTCCCTTGTTCATAATTTAGTTTTTTAACTATTCCCTTTTTTTTTCTCTTTCTCACACTAAATTTCTGCACTTTAGCTTGCAAGGACAAATTCAAAAATGCAGGCAGGTCTTCTCTCATTCAATTGTGACTTTCGTTTATCCTTCCATCTGTGGCCTTGGAACCACACCCTGAAAATGTTTCCTAGGGATTCAGGTAGGAAGTGGTTAATAAGAAAGAGTAAAGGAGGAACATTGTCTTTCTTTCACGTAGTACAAAGATACTGTGGGAAGAAGCCTCTGATTTCATCACTCCTGCAAAAGGAATGTGGAAAAGCTGCATCGGCTGTCATTCTTGTGTGTGTAACCCAAATGGCTCATCCTTTCTCCACAGATAGGGGACGTGTCCTGGCATTTCCGCATCTAGTTTTCAGATGAAATTGAGAGTAAGAATGGCAGGCTGCAGCTGGACACGTTCTGATTTCTAAAGGTACAACATTTCAAAGAGAAAGTGAGCAAGAGATTCGCTTTTTAGGAAAGGTAAGGCAACCTTCTTCAGAATTAATGTCACATTCTAGAAACACTTTTGTTCAATAACCTTTTGGGGAAATTCTGTAAAGAACCATTTCCTCTCTTTTTCGAGGAAACATATTTTTTTCTCTACAGAAAATGCAAGGCTTGCTTTTGAACTGGGATTGTATTTCACAAAACTGTCAAGCCGAACATTTTAATGGAAACCATCACGCTCGTCTTCTTTTAATGCTGAGAGATTGAGGACATCTGTTCCTTGAACTGTTCAGATCGCTGCCTCCTGAACTTCACTTGAACGATGAAAATTTTTCAGCTGCCCTTAACGGACTCTGACTTGTCAGAGGAATTGTTAGATTTTTATAAAAGTACAGGAATATTTTCCTGGAAACTGAGAATAATGCACCAAGGAAAAGCATAAAGACCTGGAGGCTTGAGAAATAATTGGGTTCATGTGCTGCATTAGATTCTGGAGCTGGTAGATTATCCTGGTAAAGAACAGAATACAGAATTTGCTAGCACTGAGGAACAAAAGTGGGGAATATAATCTCTAACCGGGGTCCGAGGATGGATCCCAATGACTTCAGGTACCCTTGCAATGGCAAGCAATCAGCACTGGATATTCAATCTTTAGCCAATAATCCAGAACTCCTGAGTGATATTTGGATCACTGCAGAAGGCCTGGGTGGTAGTAAGTTCTGCTCTAACAGGCTCCTTCAAGTCACCAAGAATCTACGAGACATAGATAAAAAATTCCAGTGTTTCCGGGAACTTTTACAGCAAGATGGTAAGTACTGGAATTTTTTTATTTGCTGGTGTGTATTTTGTCAATTTCATCTTCTGCATTACTTATAATTAAGCAAATTTATTTAGCTGCCCAACTCATACACAGTGGCTCTGAGCGGGGTGCAATATTAAAAATCTACAACTAAAAATGCACATGGTGGCAACAGCAAAATCAGACAAGCCATTTAATTGGCTCTAAATGGAGTCTCCAAGCTTGCAGACAAAATCATGGCTTCAAGGCCTTTTAGAGAAGAAACAAACTGAGGCCAATCTTATCACTGAGGGAAAGATTTCTATTATTCTATTATTTATTAAACAAATTTAATTAAACATCCTCTAGGACAGGGGTGTCAAACTCAAGGTCCAGGGCCCGGATCCAGCCCACAGGGTGCAGAGTTCGGCAGCCCGTTTTCGCTGGCAGAGTGCTTGGGCCTCAACAGGCACCCCCAACACAAGTGATGTCAAGCTGGCCATGCCCACCTTGGCCAGCCACCCCCCCTCCCACTTCCGAGGTGAAGCACAACCCTGATGCGGCCCTCAATGAAATCAAGTTTGACACCCTTGCTCTAGGAGATCAGAGGAGACTATTACTCATGAAAACCCCGTGATGTAGGATGCCAGTTTAATCGCTTATTTCAAATTCTGTATTTTGTTTGAACCATTAGTCTCTCTCTCTCTCTCTCTCCCTCTCCCTCTCTCTCTCTCTCTCCCTCCCTCCCTCCATCTCTCTCTCCCTCTCTCTCTCTTATATATCTGAATGCAAATTATAAATCTTTTAATCTTACAACTTTCTGAGAGGTGGTGGATAACTTAAGTCCCATTGCCTGAGTAGATTGTTTACATAAAATTGCAAAAAAGATTGTACATTATTATTCCCCAAAACTAGCAGTGTAGCTACCACCCTTGTAAGCAATTTATGTTTTAGTATAATATAATATTAACTCAGAAGCTTTAATATATTTGTTAAAATGCAGGAAAGATGTTGATTTAGGAGTCATTTGTCTGTAATTACATGTAATTAATTGTTTAACATATATAGCTAGCCCCATCTTGTTTCTGGGCTAAATAAAGACTCTTAAGTTATCCCATTAAACCGAATGAGGTTAAGAGGTGAACACTTAATGACCACAAGCTGAATGAAATCCATGGGCTTAAATGTGCTTAATTTTGTATTGGCTGTAGCCAATTAATTTTAAAACTCCAATTGCACTATTCTCTAAATTACTAGTCTATGAATGCAACAATAATACCCTTTCATATTTTTACAGATTTTTATATTTCAGATATTTTTGTATCTCTGTAATAAACAAAAATATTGTGAAGATTTTTCTGACCTTGCTTTTTTTCTTCTTCCCCCTTCCTAAAGTAGTGCTTCTCTCCCTCTCCTCCCCACCCCCTCTCTCAATTGTTTTCCAAGGCATTTTGGAGGGATTTTTGGCTAAAAGGTGGGATAAAGGTGGATTGATGCAGAATTCTGTATCTCCTCTGAAAATTTAAAGTTGATATGGAGGGCAGTGTGGATCTGTAATACAATAGTTATATGGTATTAATCAGTAAGTTGTTGCACAATTCTGCATAGAACTGCTCACTTTAACAAAGCAGTATAATTAGGGGCATCCAAAATTACATGGCAGCTACAGAAAGTTAAACCTTTAATCGAATGGTTGAAATACCCACATATTTATGAGCCATCTTAAATCTGATCCTTAATTTGCCATTTGTAGTTCATCTTTGGGCTGTTTCAGCAAGTCCTCATGGTGCTTCCAGGTTTTTCAAATCAGTCAAGGTTCCCACAAGATGGTAGACTTCAGATATGTTATTCTTGAAGTTACGGACAATATGGAATGGAATGGAGTGGAATATTCTTTATTGGCCAAGTGTGATTGGACACCCAAGGAATTTGTCTCCGGTGCATAAGCTCCTAGTATATATATATAAGCAACAAAGTGATAAATCATAAATCATAAGATACACTCATAAATCATAAAATACTATCAGCAAGGTGATACTCATAAGATACCAGTAACAGCTATGGGGTGCCATGTTATAAATAGCTGTGATATAATCCTATCATTCCTTGAGGGAACAGAGGAGCTACAGTATTTGCAACCTATGTTGGCATTTCCTTGATTTTTCCCTCATGGAAATACTGTTTTCATATAAAAGAGAATTATTTTTCTTTTTTTTTCTTTTTTGACAGAATAATATGAATTCTTTACTAGCAGTGGGTTTACATATCAAAGAATAAGAGGCACCAGTTCTAATTGGTGAGGCCCAAGCAGACATGGTTTTAGGTTTATATGGGATGAGTAGTTGACTTCTCCCCAGTCATTAGATTATTGCAGCTAGGACTGGCAATCTAGACTTGTTGACTTTCCCTTTACACACACACATAAGGAAGTGTGAACATAAAAAGGTGTGGAGCAGCTGCCTGTTTTTTTCCCCCTTAATTATACATTCTCATTCACAACCTTGCCCGTCTGTTGAGTTAGTTCTATAATAATAGGCAAGGAGCCACACACCTCCAACCACTATTTATTTATCTTATTTTATCCCACCTTTAATACTTTTATTAATTATTATAAAATTATTATTTCATAACACAAGGCAGTGAAGATACCTGATACTCCTTCCTCTTCCTGTCATCCCCACAACAATAATTACAAGCCTCTAGTAGCAGATAAAGCCACAAGTATCGAAAGGTGGAGATGGAGGGTGGAGTAAGTGTACAGTAGCAACTTCCATTAAGGGAGGAGTTTCTACCTGGCCTTAAGGACTTGAAGGCTCCATACTGAAGCCTTCAAGTCCTTGTTTTTCATGATAAATAGGCTGGAAATCAGTTTAACAAATCCTTTTCTGGATTTCAACCCCTCTGTTTTAGTCACAATGATAGCAATAGCACTTAGACTTATACATCGCTCCATGACCGAAGAATCTTCCCAAAGCATGTTTATCAGGGGTCCAGTTAGTGGAAACTTCCTTGGTTTGCTAAATAATTGAACACAACGAAACTTTGTTTTGCCATTTTTCCTGTCCCTTGGACCCTGCCTATAATAGTACTGCTACAAAGCAGGAGTTTCAGACATCAGCATCATAATGTTAGAAGAGTCACATTCTCAAAATGGCCACCATGGCTGGATGCTTATTTTACAACATAAAATAAAAGGTTGTAAAAGGTTGTTTCAGGCAGAGAGCCAGAATTTTTTTTTTTAAAAAAAAACTCTCTTTGGTAGAATGGTAAACTAGGGAAGTTAAATATCAAAATTTCCCAAGACTAAATGAGGATACAGATGAGGGCTGAAACACATATAAACCCAGCACAAAACTGCACTTGGCACGACAGTTTTCTGCTTTAGCTAAAAGCCATTTCTTTCTGCTAATGCTAAAGGAGAAGCAACTTCATCCTGCAGCTTGCCTAATGGCCAGGAACTTTTTGAGTTTTGTAGATTGCTCTGAGACTGAAAAAAAATCATGAATGAGGCCTGTTATTTGCATAAATATAAAGCATGTGAGAAAGGATCACCAGATGGCGCCCAGGAACCAAGAACTGCTCCTGATCAGATTTTTTTTCAGCATCTCCCCTAAACTATATTTACATCCAGTCTGTTCTTACCTTCTGATCCAATGATCTAATAACCCATCTCTTTTTAATTGGCAATATAAACTGCACAGTAGTATTTTAAATAACAACGAAAATGAACTTTCATAGTACATTATTCCACTGACAGTTTAGTTTTAATCCTAGCAAATGTCAAGAAGAAGCTAAGTTAAAGAACTAGGAGGAAAATAAGTATTTCTTCAGTGGTTCGGTCAAAAATATTTAGTGATAATGCAAAAAATGGATCCAGTGAAAATTATGTGAAATGGCATATTAGCAAGTATCATTTATATGTGCAATACAATATGTGTAAAACACAAATACGACAATACAGGATATTATTCATCCTTCGTTACAAAATAGTATCTTAAATCAGGGAGAGATAAATTAGTGCTCTCCAGAAGCTTTCCATTAAAACCATCAATCTTTTGACAAGTGGAAACTGATGGATACTGATGTCCAAGAATCCAGAAGTTACGAAGTTATCAATCCTTGCCTTAAATGGTAGAAGTTCAGATCCATATATTGTGATATAATTTCATCGGGGGTAAAGCAATTTATTTAGAAGACATGAGGTGAACAATTCCACATTTTAAGCTGTACTTGGGCACTTAATTGTAATACAAAATTATATTATAATTTAGATGGCAAAGGGGTGTTAAATACTTCACTAGACATATTATTCCCTGTCAGAAATAACCAGATACCATTTTCATTCAGTGTATCTCCCAACAAGGCTTCAAACATGGCCTGGCAGGAGATAAATTGGCTTTAACCAGACAAAGCACAAGTAAATATCTGTAGGAATCAGTGGACGTTCCACTCTTCGAACTTGATAATTTCCTTCTACAAATTCATCTTTCAATGCTTCCTTATGTTGTCTTGGCAAACACATAATTAGAAATGAGCATTTGTTACGATAATGTATTGTTTTAAACACATTCATAGGATCTGAGGCACAGAACACAATATTCTATCTACTCTCATCTCAAAAAATAGTGGCTTGAGAATTGCAAGAAATAATGCATACACACTCTGCCAAATTATTAATATTCTATATTGTTATTATTGACAGTCATTTAGATATAGTGTCTGGAGCAATAGGCTAGAAACCAAGAGATTATAAATTCTAATTCTGCCTTAAGCACAAAGTCAATGGACTGACCTACATTTTCAGCCCTAGGAAGAAGCTAAGGGCCAACCACTTCTGAAAATGTAGCCAAGGAAACTGCTGGGACCAGTCCAGGCAGTTACAGGCGTCAACAGTGACTCAAAGGCACAAAATAAAAGTGATGGTGATTTAATCATTATTATGATTATTATTACAGGAGGCATGCTTTCAGGCCCTGCTGAAATTAAATTGGCTGAATTGCTCCAGTCTGTCTCCTGCTGTCTCAGCAAGTATCCAGTTTTAAATGCTTGCACCATCCAAGCAGACATAGCCTCTCTTATCACATGTGTGAATGGTAAGTTTCTAAGCTCAGGTTCTTTCAGAGCTTCATTAACAATAATGACAACAAACATTAAGATCATCTTTACTTGAATCAAGTTCTCTTCAAATGTATTAGACTATTATCCATCTCAGCCTGTGCCAGGATGGCTAATTCTGGGAGTCTGTCTATACCACATACATGCCATCATGCTTTTCACCATGGCCAACTCATTTGTGGCCAACTTGCCTTGCCCAACTTGCCTGAGGCAACTCACTGCAGGATAATTCAACAATTCAATTTAATTAAACTAATTTAAAATTTATTTTAATTTTTGCCATTCACATTTCATTTTGTCCCTCCTTTTGCAACCTTTCTTTAATGATGCTATTCCACTATTTCTTTGATATTAGTGTAAGTCTTGTCCCATATTGAGCTGTCCCATGGCAAGTTGGCTGTGTGAGAGGTCCTGTGGTGAGTTGGCCACAGCAAGTTGGCCGCGGTGAGTTGGCTGTGGCAGGTTGGGAATAGGTAAAGATATGCAAACTGCAGGAAATGAGATGGGAAAAGTAAGTAAAAGGCACTCCATAAGAAAAAAGGAAAAGGAAATGCCACTGGATGGTCCTTCAGTTCTGCTGCCCATTGTGGCTTTAGTCAATCAGAGTTTTCATGTAATGCTTTTTTTAAAAAGTAAGATAGAGAAGGAATAGACTAGCTTGCCAGCTTTAATTGCACTGTGTTGCATGCAGCATTTCCTGCTGAATGTAAGGGCACATTACTGGTCAATTTGGATACATTTTAGCCAATCCCAGGCCAGTTTTATCTCAAACATACTAATGCTGTTCTATGCAAGCAAGGATATCTAATCAAGAAACCATCCTGCAAGCCAAGATACTGTTGCTTACATTCCACCAACTAGGAAGTACATGCAGCATTAGGCGAGGAAGCCTTGTTTCAGAAAATACTATTAAGATTATAATCTACCTCCTCTGAGGGAGATGGGAAGTTAAATGTGAAAAACAAATAAACAAATAATGGAGCTAGAACATTGTGCCCAGTACTTTGCATCAACATATAGAAGAGAGTGTGCAGCCTATTATAAGAGGTGACGCTTGTCTCTACTCAGATACTTTATATTATATTTATATCCATCTCTTTGTGCAAGGAGCATGAAGTAACAGGAGTAGTTTTACAGCCTCATTTCTCTCTCAGATACAGTAATAGGCTGAGAAGAGCATGATTACTTCAAGATCACTTCATTTGGGCTTGGTCACTGAGGGCCTGTCCCCATAGACAACTAAGCAGTCTCTTTTTTCTGCCATGTCTTCATGATACTGCATTACCTCACACCTGGATCATATGCATTCAGGGGTTAAAATAAGCAGGCAACAAGTTCAGTTGCTTTGCTGTGGATACACTCTGATGTGTTTCACCAACCACTTTACTGGTGGCTCTGTTAAATGAACCCATCTGACATCTATCTTTAGATTGGGGTGGACTTCCTCATTCCCTGGGCCCTGCTCTCAAGGACACTTCTGTTATGGGAATGGGACAGACAGGGTTTTTCAAACTGGACTGTTTCCAAGCTCATTCTGGTTTGGAGATCTGGGTCAGCTCAAACAGTAGATGATCAACCACAGCTGCAGAAAATCTATGCAGTGAAGAAGGAAGGAGAGAACTCTCATTTTCTTTGGCACTTCATGGCACGCAGTTTTCTAAACTCACACCATGCAATTGTTATCCTGGCTGTTTTTGAATATAGGCTCAGAATCCTTCCTGGGTTCAAAAGCAGCCCAAAGAACTGAGAGGCCAAGGTGGGGATGGTGTGAGCCAGAAGGTTCAACTCTTAGTTCAACTATACTTTGCATCCGAGAGATTAGAGAAGCGCAAGGATTGTACAGGGCAGCAGGATTCCTGCTACATTGTACAACCTTCCTGCATGCTTGTCAAGTTATTTTTAAGTACAAGTAAAATTAGCCACGCTAACAGGTGATGACTGTACGATACAACAGAGGAGCTCTTTCATCCCACTCTTTCCCCTTCCCCATCGCAGGTTTTTCTCCTGTTAGTTGGATAAAAGCCAGATATCAAAAGTCATCTTCTTCTGGGTCCCAGGTCTATCCTGCATTAAAGACAGTGACTGCAGTATGTTTTCCCATGCTGATGGGTTTTGGTTTGAGGAAAACACCTTTGAGGGTATCCACCCATCTCTTTCCTTAACAAGCTCTATATTTAATGGCAGTATGCCTGTGGCAAGATAGAAATTGGCAATGAGAACAAAGCATTTTAGGCCAGTATAGTTTTTTATTGGTTCAAGAATGAGTTGGTAGCCATTTAAATGAGTTTTAATATTTCATATTAAATATTAAATCCGTGTATAGGGATTAACAAGTTAACAACAACCCATATGATTTTATATATGATCACAACCTCAGTAAAATATTAATGATGTAAATCAATAGGGTTTCATATTTGGCAACCAAAATGCATGAAGGGAGGCTGTCAGACACTAGAACTCAAAAACAAGGACGAGACTGAATACTATAAAATTTGGAACAAAGTGTACCAATGGTTGGAAAGGAGAAAAAGAGTTGGAACAAAAAAGAATTAGGGTTTGTAAAATGGATACTGGATATTTAGACAAATACGTAAATGAGGACATAATATAAGAACAAAATAGTAATGTATGTTAAATAGTAATTATATTTGTTATATTAAAAATATGGATGGATATGACAAGACCGGGATGGTCACACTGTGTCCAATGTTTTTAATGTTTGCTTAATAAAAAACTTTTAATAAAAAAAAGAAAAGAAAGGCAGTCAGAAAAAACAGAAACATATAACATATAACTTTATTATTTAATAAGCACAGTTGAAAGCATTATTACACGTACATAGTAAACAGGAGGGAACATACCTTTGTTTCTTTGGAAAATGGATTGCCAAGACTTTATGGAAGAAACCACTGAGCAACCAGAGTCCCAGAGATATATCAGAGGCAGCCCAGATACAATCAATGCATTATCAATCTATAACCAAAGTTCAACCAAGAGATGCCCAGAAGGACTAGAACTTTTAAGCCAATGTAGAATCCTGGAAGGAAATCTTGTTATTGTGATGTCACGCTAGACTTTACTTTCCACAATGAGCACCAGTTTTTAGTAGAAAGTTCTGGAAACCCATGTCATAGAAGTGGGACCTCTTAAATCTCTGTATTAAAGATGATATCCAAGTCACTATTTAAATGAAATGTACATTAAACAAAACAACTGGGGTCATAAAAGTTTCTTCACTATCTTTTGAACATTAGCCACATATTAAAAAATCTTTTCTCCCTTTATTCTCTGAGGATTGCCTCCAAAGAAGTAGTGTGGTGACTCCAAAACTGCTTCCAGACATTTTTGATGAAGCAATGGTATCTTTTCTGACTGTGTAGGGGCTTTCTGAGATAGGATAGGCAACAGTGGTGGGTTCCTCCCAGTTCCGCCGAGCCGGTAGCGGTGACAATATGACGTCACCGAACCGGTTCTACCCCCGCCTCCCCCCGCGCCCCCACCCCCCGCGTTATTCATCCTTTTTATTTGGCCCCACCCCCAATCTATTGCTGCCTCCTGAGTCCCAGGTGATGGGCTATAAGGAAAAAAACTGTTTAAACTCTTGCCCTGGGCCTTCAAAGGGCCACCCTACAGCTGATCAGTGGTAAAAGGCAGTTTGGTGATAGACCGGTGCCTCAAAAAACAAATGAGTAGACTGGTGCCTGCAAAAATACATGAGTAGACCAGTGCCTGCAAAAATAAATGGGTAGACCGGTACAGCTCTGCAAGCAGTTAAAAGCCTGGTAGACCAGTACCTCTGCTAAATCCTAAAGAATTGTCACATGACCATCAAGCCACACCCACAAAATTAGCCATGCCCACAGAACCGGTAGTAAAAAAAATTAGAACCCACCCCTGATAGGCAACATTACTTTCTCTGAGGAATGAATGTAGCTCTTGATCCTTTTTTATTCTCAGAGACCCCAGAACTAATTTTCAGCATAGTGTAATAAATAATATTTAAATAAATGTATTTAAATAATAAATACATATAAAAGTATTCTCTTGTTTGTCGGTTCAACCGATTCAACAGAATTTCAATTCTGCTTTTCTATTCATAGGGTATTCAAGGCAACTAGCAATAAAACAAAAGAGATCTCAATAATTACATATAGATTTTAACCAGTGGTGGGTTTCAAAAATTTTTACAACCGGTTCTGTGGGTGTGGCTTGGTGGGTGTAGCATGGCTTGGTGGGCGTGGCCTGGTGGGCGTGGCAGGGGAAGGATACTGTAAAATCCCCATTTCCAGAGGCAGAGAATAGATGGGGGCGGGGCCAGTCAGAATTTTTACTACTGGTTCTCCGAACTACTCAAAATTTCCGCGACCGGTTCTCCAGAACTGGTCAGAACCTGCTGAAACCCACCTCTGATTTTAACCCAGGCTAGTTTTTTGAACTTAATCCATATAGCCACTGGACATGTATGAGAAAAATATATGGCTTGGAAATAATCATTTTCCATGCTTAGCATACAAAAAGAATTTTTTTCATGTTTATTTTATTTTTTTATAATGTAAAGCTGCCCAGAATTATCTGGACTCAGGCAGACTCTAAATGTAATAAAATAAATAGTGACTACATAAGGAGAGACAGGATTTCATCACCATCCCGATGAACATAGTTTTTGATGTAAGTAGGTCAAGGATGGATTTTGATTAGCCTTCAGAGTCCTATCCTACTTGTGTCAGTTTATCTGTTTTATAAAACATAGGTAAGAGGGGTTTTTTTTATCCTAAATGAGATTATTTGATGATTTGAGTAATCATTGTTGTAATCAACTAATCAGACTTTTCCCCAATGTGGTTGTATATAATCAGGGCCGGATTTTCCTATAGGCTAACTAGGCTTCAGCCTAGGGCCTCAAGAACAAGAGGGGCCTACATTCAAATTGTTAGCAAAATTAAAATTACACTTTCACTATAGGTGAAAGGGCCTCATA